AGCTGTTACGGTAATAGCCCAGTCCTCTAACAACCCTCTAATAGCCATAACACCACCAGTAGTTATCAGGTATAATCCACGATTCTGCCTTCACTGATTATCAGCCAGTGTCCACAATTATTTAATAAAGGATAACACTACACAGTGTAACTGTATATATATATGATATGATATTTATGATAAATACAATGTATTTAAACATAAAATCGAGGGTTTAGCTGACACCTACATTTCCCTGGTATCATAAGCCACAATTATTTTTTTACATCACACCAGTTGTCCCCAATCGTGAATCGATGAAGATCATTTTCCAGATGTCTTGAAAAACTACAGACCAGTGTCAAACCTTGGGAAAACTAATTAAAAGAGAAGGCTACAGGAGCAATGAGCATGTAATGATGACCTCAATTGTCCTGGACAATATGCTTACAAAAGAGATCATATTTCACTTGTTATTAAGATAGTGTTCATGATATCTTCATAGCAGCTGATGAAAATATGAACATATTTCTGTTCTTCAGATTAAGTCAAAACCTTCGTCAACCGACCGAGAAATTGTTTCTTGAGGACAAAGAACTGGATGTTTAAATAGGTACCGCGACAATTGACCCCCTGACAATTGACTTCCCGACAATTGACCCCCTAGGTAGTTAAACTGGGGTCAATTGTCTCGAAATCTAGGGTTTAGTACGACAATTGACCCCCGACAATTGACCCCCTATGTAATTACACTGGGGTCAATTGTCACGAAATCTAGGGCTTAGTACGACAATTGACCGCCCGACAATTGACCCCCAACAGTTGACCGCCCGAAAATTGACCCCCCGACAAGTGACCCCCTGACAATTGACCCCCCATGTAATTACACAGGGATCAATTGATCGGGTCAGGGTCAGGGTCAGGGTCAGGGTCAGGGTCAGGGTCAGGGTCAGGGTCAGGCCTCAGGGTCAGGGTCAGGGTCAGGGTCAGGGTCAGGGTCAGGGTCAGGGTCAGGGTCAGGGTCAGGGTCAGGGTCAGGGTCAGGGTCAGGGTCAGGGTCAGGGTCAGGGTCAGGGTCAGGGTCAGGGTCAGGGTCAGGGTCAGGGTCAGGGTCAGGGTCAGGGTCAGGGTCAGGGTCAGTAAAGGGTTAGGGTTAGGGTTAGGGATAGGGTTAGGGTTAGGGTTAGGGTTAGGGTTAGGGTTAGGGTTAGGGTTAGGGTTAGGGTTAGGGTTAGGGTTAGGGTTAGGGTTAGGGTTAGGGTTAGGGTTAGGGTTAGGGTTAGGGTTAGGATAAGGGTTAGGGTTAGGGTTAATTGCATTAAATTATATTGTCGGGGGGGCTAATTGTCGGGGGTCAATTGTCGGGGGGATAATTGTTGGGGGGTCAATTGTCGGGGGAAAATTGTCGGGGGGTCAATTGTCGGGGGGTTAATTGTTGCCCACCCGTTTAAATACTATCTGCAGCTAATGTACATGATTCTAAAACTAATATAAATAATTCTAAAACTCAAATTAAAGTCTTTCGGTCTAATATAGTATTGCTCAATGAGATGGTGTGGAAATCGCTCATAAAACATTAGTAATGTTTGTGCCTACTATTAAAAGCCAGGGAGTGTTTTAGATGAGATTTGTAGTGAAATCAACAAGAAAATGTACGAGGAAATTCAATCTTGCAATTTGATGAACAAGAGATCAGTAACGAAAGAGAAACCATGCGAATGCTTGGAAACTGTTTGTTGTATATTGGACCAGTTCAGTATCACCTGGCTAAGGAAGGCGATACCTCTTGCAGAAGAAATTGACAAGTTGAAAAGTGAGAAGATTTCAGATCAGAGTATTATCATCGATCTTCAGAATAAGGCTATTGAAAAAAGCAACAAACAGCTCAAATCAATGCAGAATACCGTGCAAACGGAGATGAAAAGCTACTCTTCAGTCGTTAGAAAAAGCATCAATGCTGCTTTCGCCCCGAAGAAGATCCACGCTGCAGTTAAAAAAGTAGAAAACCAGATTGAGTGAAGCAAGAACGTAATCATTTAGGGTCTATCAGAATCAGAGAACGAGCAACTGCTGAGTAATGTTGAGGAGGTTCTGAATGAAATTAGTGAGAAGCCTTTAGTCAGGGACTGCTGCTGTATTGGAGCTCCGAAAGAAAATGTATCCAGACCAGTAAAGTTCACATTGAGCAGTTCTGACCATGCAACACCAGTGATCAGAAACACCAGTACACTACGCTCAAAGGAGGGGAACAGCTCAGTTTACATCTGCCCTGATAGGACTGCCACGGAACGAAAAGCTTATAAAAAGCTTGTAGAAGAACTGAGACTGAAACGAACTACAGAGCCTGACAAGTTTCATAGTATTAGGAACAATAAGATAGTCAGCTTGTAGAGAGTATAACTAGAGGCGAGACTGGCTAAAATTATTATTTCTACTTATCTAAATTTAAACATTATTATTGATTTTGATCTTGAAGGGACCATAATTTTTGAGGCCATTACTTGCCAATGATGTCAATGTTTATTTCAGGATTACCACTTTTGGAACTCAATAAATGTATCCTTGTATCCTTGTATCCTTGTATCCTATCAGGTCCAGTTACTACAAAATGCCGTAGCCAAAGCTGTTGATAGGCAATATAAACATTACCATCTTGAGGATGAACTGATCAATCTTTACTGGTTGGATAATGGATATAGAGAAGAGGATTGAATTCAAAATCTCACTACAAAATCTCACAAATCCATACTAGGATTGGCTCCAACTTATCTGCAAGATATGTTCGGATTTAAGTTTGGTGTAGGTAGCCTCTCTGTAGTAGCTTCTAAGATGTACAATCAATTTGCTAATTCTTTGAAATCATTAAAGCTCTTCTAAAAACTTTGTCGAAAAACTATTCAAGTCATATTTGGTGAAAGACCTTCAATTTAAAAAATATAACCTCATCGAATATTTTGAAATGGCCACAACCCATTTAAATATTTTAGTTTCTCTTATTCCGTCACATCTTACTATACATTTCTAACAAAGTAATCGTATAGTATCAATTAAACCAATTCAGTATCAACAAACCACGATAAACTATGTAGAAGATAAGAGGTATGTCACAAATAGAGCCGACTCTAGAGGAAAAAGCATATGATAAAAACGATAGGAAATAGTATGAATGGGTACTCCACATCAAATAGAATACATGAAAACATAGTTAGTAATCAAATTACACATCAAAAAGATAACCAAATAGGGTGAAAAGGAGTTTCGAAATGCGACAATAATACTGAAAAACGACCTAGGTATTCTTGTGACAATATGACAGTATTTGCTTTAGCGCTCGATTTTCATATCACGGTGTAAATTTTCGAAAATATGCGCGGCGCACCTACAATTTTGGTTCCATTAAAAATGAATTTTTGGGTCAACATTATATTTAATATATTTAAATTAGTTGTTATTACAAGATATATAACTAAAAATTTCCAAAATATAGCATATAGGTACCAAAAATAAATTGCGCGCAAAAAAGTCAAAATTTTTACCACTTTTTTGGATTTTTACCTCAGAACAAATAGAGGGATTTGTTTTATTTTTACATAATCTTGTGCGGCTGTCTTTTAGCTATCTTCATGCAAGTTTTGCCGACATACCAACAAAATTAACTTGCTCAAAATATCAAAAAACATGGTTTTTTGGCCTATTTTTGGCCCAAAAATCGGTTTTTTGCAATTTTACCCCAGAACAATCAGTCCAATCATTTTAAAACCACTTTCAATCGATTCTACGGTCAAAAATACGTCTAGTAAGGTGTATCTGGGGTCCCTAGCGTATCGAGCAGACAATGCCCGTAAGAGCCTCTACTATAGTGATAATTGACGTAAACATGTGTTTTATAATCACATCTAACGAGTTACTATTTGTTTGCATAATTAATTATATATGTTTACATTGTAGCGCGATGTTCACATAGCCATGTGTCTACGCGTACTGCGTGACGCGCTTGTTTCACAAGCGCGCTACTGCAAGCGAGAGGGCTCTGGTTAGAGCAAAGCGCGATGCACTACTGGGTCGCGCCGCGCATCAAATAATTCTTCTTTCAACCACGGTAGATCGGCGAGATGCACCACTGTGCCTCACCGAGCTGCGAAGGATTGACATCGTGAATCAAATGTTTACACTAGTATATATGATAGATATAAATTTTATAATTGCTTCAATCTTCAACACTGCTAAACAACAAATACCTACCAGCCCATCGATGAATCAGTCGCCAAAACAAAGCTCAAAGTTATTTTACCTTCGTCATTCGTACTTCGTTTTGGAGACTGTAGAATGCCAATATATAATTAGTGTTTCAATTGCCTTTTCGATGGGCAAGCACTCGCCACTCGAGGCCGAGACAAACGGCGCAGGATTTGGTACTGGCAGGGCCAATTTTATTGTGGCTTGTAAAAGTACTCAGTTGCCTGTAAGTGCTTTAACAAACCCCTGGGGACCACAATGTTATAAGATCAGGCCAGATGTATCTATGTAAAGCAATTTATTTATTTCAGAGCTATGGTTACATGATATAATAGCTGGTGGTCATATTTAAAGGTACAATACCTCAACCAGTAGCTGTTTTATAGTTTATAGTACCAGGCCATGATTGTAACCATCATTGTCTTTTCTCAAAAAATTGTCTTTTCTCAGTTTTAGCTGACTAATTTTATGTTATAATCTAGCCAACATGGCGTTATATGACGTGTTTGAGATCTGGAGCTTGAATTAATCTGGGAACAGAATACAAATTAATACCAGTTATTCCCTGTCTTTCTCGGGTCTCCCCCCTTTTAGTGTAAAGTAAAAGTTATAAGATCACATCATCACACATGTCTACAAAGTCTTTTGATTGGTCGTCGTCGACAGTAAGCATTCCTTACGGTGGCTTTCACAATGCGTCCCCATTAGCTCGAGTAGCTTTTGTCAACGTGTTGAGAAATATTTTATACATATCAAATTGTGCTTTTGGTGGAGATATAATCTTATGGAACTGCAGCCCTCATAGTAAGGCTGAACCTATGACAGTTAGCAGTAAAACATTACAACTTACCGATAGGATGGCCTCTTCACCATTTCGTGGTGGTATGCCCAAGAATTATGACAGTGGAGGGTCAAGCAGTGAGACTGAAAACGGGATTTGTCTCACTCTGATGGAAAAAAAGTTAAGATCTACTGCCGCAAAAACAAAAACAAAGGTTTGACAAGATAAACTCGCCAGTTTGTTTCTCATTCTTCCCAAAACAAGTAAAATTTCTCAAATGTTTATTTTCTATTTCTTAATTCTTTAGTACTAATATAAAGAGCTATTGCAGTACTTATACGTATTTATAATAAACTGTATGGCACTGACCAGGTATTTGGTACATGTAGTTTTTGTGGTCAGCCGATCACTGGAGAGAAGCAGCGAGTGGAGATAGCAATCCCAACTACTATCAACTCTGGGAAGTTTGTTCTGAGCTACGATGGTCATGGTGTTGCTAAGCTTCACAGCAGCTGCTGGAAAAACGTTCTTGGTGTGAGTTTTTAATAATCATAATATCTTTCTTAAGCAAATAATTTTGGCATTATGTGTATCTTAAGCGAAATCTTTGAATTTAACATCATTGAACCCCACTGTATCTACAAAACTTTATTTTGATTATATCAATGAGTCATTTCGTCTCTATTTATTGTCTTTGTGTTACAGAGGAAATTAAATAGCATTAAGTCGAAATATATAAAATAAAAACTTTTTACAGTCAATAAAGCAGCGTGGAGGGCGACGGTATGTCAGGACTTCCAGGAATTCCAAGACATCTAATTCAGCAGACAAGGCTGTAACTGAACAACCTAAGTTCGAAAGTGTTGAGCGCAGTATTCTTAAAGAAGTCTCTGGTGCTGCTGAATTTTACGACCCAATGGTTAGTTATCAAATGTGCAATATTACATTATATATATATACTACTCTGTCTTCTAATCCTATTTGTAAACTTTATCATTATATTTAGTATGTGATAAAATCTAAGCATTCAGCTTTCAGCAAGAAATTCGATTGGAACATTTTAATAATTTGTATGTGTATATTATATATTATTAATTTATGATATATTTCATCTACACGGAAAAATTTTCTTATGCAAGTACCATGCCAGACATATTTGAAACTGTAAAATCAATCTCTTTCCTGAGGTTTATAATCTTATCTGCTGACCCAACATCTAAAACCTGTGAAACACGTGACTCATACAATATGGCAGGTGGTAACCAGGTAACTAACCAGGTAACCAGGTAACTAACCAAGTAACCAGGTAACTAACCAGGTAACCAGGTAACTAACCAGGTAACCAGGTAACCAGGTAACTAACCAGGTAACTAACCAGGTAACTAACCAGGTAACCAGGTAACTAACCAGGTTATCAGGTAACCTGGTAACTAACCAGGTAACCAGGTAACCAGGTAACCAGGTAACCAGGTAACCAGGTAACCAGGTAACCAGGTAACCAGGTAACCAGGTAACCAGGTAACCAGGTAACTAACCAGGTAACCAGGTAACCAGGTAACCAGGTAACCAGGTAACCAGGTAACTAACCAGGTAACCAGGTAACTAACCAAGTAACCAGGTAACTAACCAGGTAACCAGGTAACTAACCAGGTAACCAGGTAACCAGGTAACTAACCAGGTAACTAACCAGGTAACTAACCAGGTAACCAGGTAACTAACCAGGTTATCAGGTAACCTGGTAACTAACCAGGTAACCAGGTAACCAGGTAACCAGGTAACCAGGTAACCAGGTAACCGGGTAACCAGGTAACCAGGTAACCAGGTAACCAGGTAACCAGGTAACTAACCAGGTAACCAGGTAACCAGGTAACTAACCAGGTAACTAACCAGGTAACCAGGTAACTAACCAAGTAACCAGGTAACTAACCAAGTAACCAGGTAACTAACCAGGTAACCAGGTAACTAACCAGGTAACTAACCAGGTAACCAGGTAACCAGGTAACCAGGTAACCAGGTAACTAACCAGATAACCAGGTAACTAACCAGGTAACTAACCAGGTAACCAGGTAACTAACCAGGTAACCACTAACCAGGTAACTAACCAGGTAACCAGGTAAAACATGTGAAACACGTGACTCATACAATATGGCAGGTGGTATGACGTGTTATGACGTCATTTCACGTGTTATGACATCATAACCTGACCTGTGAAACACGTGACTCATACAATATGGCAGGTGGTAGTGGGATGGGAAGCGATCAGGATAGCTCGGTTAATAAAGAGTGCGCGTCACTGCATCGTGTTCACTGGAGCTGGGATATCTACAGCAGCGGGTATTGGTGATTTCCGGGGCAAGGCTGGCAAGTGGACCAGTAATGATCTCAACGACTTCATCAGCGACTGTGAGTTGGTTTTCAATTCATTTTCGTTGGTATTGTTTTGGAAACTTTAAATCTTTATTTTGTAGTAATTTTGTATTTATTCGTACAAACTGCTTCTGTCTGCTTATTTGGGTTGAAACTTATTTCAGTGATATGTTTCTTTATAATAATTTAGTGTGTTTTATGCATGATACCTAATACCTAGTACATGATACCAAGTACATTACATTGCACTGGTAAGTGGCAAACTACATGTTAACGCCTGTATCCAGAGCCCCCCCCCCCCCCTTATAATACTATGTGTATCTATCTTGTGCTCTATCAGTATCACATCATTGTACAGATCCACACACACACACATACACACACTTTCGGGACAGTACATGAGAGCACCCATTACTAGTAATGAGAGATGCATTGTTGGTTAATAGGGGCTGAACTGTTAAGCTTGCTCTAACTTCCTGTTTATAATTGTCAGCACTCTCCTACAGTGCAGTGTGCTGCCAGATACTCAAGTACTGTACCCCAAAGTAGATAACTATAGAGGTATTGCACTGACATCTATAGTGAGTAAGACTCTCAATAAGATGATACTGAACAGGATCAAACCTGCCATGGAAGACATCTTAAGGATCAATCAGAACGGATTCAGAGAGAGTAGGTCAACAACTAGTCATATTCTTGGCCTAAGAAGGGTATTTGAGGGAGCCCGGGATAAAGATCTGACCGCGGTAATGCTCTTCATTGATTTCAAGAAGGCATTCGACAGCGTGCACCGTGGACTCCTCATGAAGATCCTCCTGGCATATGGAATTCCCAAGGAGATTGTAGGCTTGATACAAAGAATGTATGCAGATACATTTGCTCGTGTGATTACCGAGGATGGTCTGAGTGAAGCATTCTTCATTCTAGCAGGAGTGATGCAGGGAGACACTTTGGCGCCCTACCTATTCATAATCGTAATTGACTACATTATGAGGGTGTCCCTAGAGGGAAGGGACTTTGGGTTTACTCTACACCCTAGAAGAAGCCGTCGCTATCCGGCAGTCAAGGTCACTGATGCGGACTTTGCTGACGACCTTGCTCTTATAACAGATATTGTTGCGGAGGCACAAGATTTCCTCAGGAGTCTGGAACTGGCGGCCAACTCAGTTGGACTCCACCTCAACGAGGGGAAAACTAAGTACATGGGAATCAACATAAGAGATGATGATAACCCGACTCTGGTTGCTGGGAGTGGGAAGAACATTGAGAAAGTCGATGACTTCGTATATTTGGGTAGTAGAATGAAGAGTTCGGAGAAGGACTTCGAAGTGAGGAAAGCTAAGGCATGGGGAGCGTGTCACCAGATGAAGCTTGTATGGAAGTCGGATATGCGTAGAGATCTCAAGATACGACTGTTCCTGGCTACAGTCGAGTCCATCCTTCTATATGGCTCTGAAACATGGACTGTCAGCCAGACCCTCGCAAAACGTATTGATGGATGTTATACGAGAATGCTGAGGATGGCACTGAACATTGACTGGAAAGAGCGGCAGACTAACGCCAAGGTGTATGGACACCTCATCAGAGCATCTGATAAGATAGCTGCACGGAGGATGAGACTCGCAGGTCATTTAGCGAGACATGAAGAACTATTAGGTCATCAACTTCTCTTCTGGGAACCCCTTCAAGGACATCGTCGAAGGGGAAGACCACATCTCACATACATTGACATCCTTCGGAAGGACACGGGGCTTGACGACAGCAAAGAGATTAACAAACTCATGCTGGATAGGCAGATTTGGAAGAAGACTATTTCTGTTCGGACGCTGAAGCCGCCCTAAGTCGAGTGTACCCCAAATCAAACTTCGAGCACATCAATATGTCATATACCATCTATAGTTGACTGACCAATTGGTTTTGGGTGTTCGTGTTACCAGATCATATGACCGCAAATGTTATGAAATTGAATGGTATGTATGGTATATTGGATGCAATTAGTTACGATTAGCATAATTTGCCATTAATTGTAGCGTAGTAAATTGCTGGATCAAACTATTGAACGATTCAAATGTGGTCTCTCGGATATATTATCTATCGTAATATTACCAAGGCTCGACCGGGACCAATTTTTTGGTCTGGACCGGGATTAAGCTGGGACCGCCCAACTGGGACGACCAGAACGCCCCCCCCCCCCCCCCTTGGTCCTCATAGCCTGTATTCAGCACCGTAGAAGAATGTGTTACAGAGTACAGACTGCAGATGTTGCTGCAGATGTTGCTGCTAATGTGTAGAGTTAGCATGGTCCAGCCTCCACTTGTTATTCAATTAATTACAATTGAAATCGTTCACAATTACTCCTTAATAAATGCCTGAATGGCAAATGTTATAACAATTTACAGATTAATAATTTAGGTCACTATTATAATAATCTACAATAAAATATTTAAACACCAACTAAACTACAGTGTCTCTAGTGTCAGTGTTGTGGGTTTGGTGGGGTTGCACCTTCCGTACAGTCCTACACACGTGTAATGACATTACACTCGAGTGGAAACTCTTTATCCTCCAAAAGTAGATCAAAGGGTTCACCAGACTGTTCACGCTGGGGTTCACGATGTAAACTATCACTGCCAGGTATTTATCCACAAACGTCCTCCCCGTTGACTGAGTGATCCTGTCCTTGACGAAGTCTCCAATATTGGTATCAGGAGGGAGCGGTTCTGAGAGTCCACTGAGGATGAAGGTGAGGAATGCAGCGTATGGAATGTTGAACAGGATATAGAGTGAGGTGACAATGATGACAGTTACGGCTGCTTCACGCTGCCGCTTAGAAGAGCTGTTGATGCTGGCGGACACCACAGTGGATCTCTTGAGAGACATGAGGGAGAGGATGAAGGAAACACTGATAGGGAGGATGGAGAGACCGGGGATCACGTTGTAAGGGATAGCAATGATAATACCTTTCCAGACTTGTCCTGGTGTCACAATGTCAGAGTCGTTGCTTGTAGCGGGGAAACAAGACGGGACACAGCAGAGCCATTCTAGGAAATAGTTCGGGAACATTATCCCGGACACCCTCAAACTGCCTGAAACTGATAAGATAACAACCATGCAGAGTGCAGGCAGTAAACAGGCGAGTCGGGGGTTAAACTGTTTGGTGGGGTACTTGAGAACAACAAGTCTGGAGACACTAAGCAGACCAACTAGGAATATGGACATCTGAGGAAGGACCCACATAACCATCACCCAGGTGCTACAGAACCGGGGGTGTTTGGAGAGTAAGCCAGCGCGCTCCTCTGCAAATGCTGCGTCTATGTTGGGGAAGAGTGCGGCGCAGATGAGGAAGTCGTTGCAGGTGATGACCATGTAGAGAGTTCTAAAGAACTGAGCAGTGGTGTTGCGAGTGTGGAGACTGGAGAAGTAGAGGAAGCTGAGAGTGTTGAGGGTGGTGCCCAGGACGGAGACGATGCACAGTGCTATTCCTATGGTGTGGTCTGCTGTTGTGTTGTACACCTCTGTCATTCTATAGGGGGAGGGTTCCTTTAACTTAACTTTGCTATTTATTATATTATGTTTCAAATAAAAGCACCCTACGTTCTCAATCATGCAAAATTAAAACGAGATAATGACTGCTTTAAATTTTATGAGCTGTTAGAAAATGGGAACCAGTGAAGAAAATATTTCAAACAATAATTAGGAGTTGAAAACCGTTGCAGCTGCTGATGGCCCACATATTGTGCAATACAGGTGATCTTGAGAGAAGTATCCCCACCTGTGAGGCTTAACAAGTTACGTTTAGAGAGAGAAATAGTTAGTGCGGGTAACAGGTCTGCTAATTCAAAACAGCTAGCCAATGAGATCTGTGTTATACTAAACCGGGAGTCTGAGGAAGTTTGACAAGGTTCATTTAGGAGGGGGGACATTGTGGGGGGGACATTGTGGGGGGGCATTGTGGTGGGGGGGACATTGTGGGGGGGGGGGGGGGCATTGTGGGGGGGACATTATGGGGGGGGGGGCATTGTGGGGGGGGGGACATTGTGGGGGGGGGGGGGACATTGTGGGGGGGGGGGGGGGGAGGGGGGGGCGGGGGGACATTGTGGGGGGGCATTGTGGGGGGGGGACATTGTGACTGCTTTAAATTTTATGAGCTGTTAGAAAATGGGAACCAGTGAAGAAAATATTTCAAACAATAATTAGGAGTTGAAAACCGTTGCAGCTGCTGATGGCCCACATATTGTGCAATACAGGTGATGTTGAGAGAGGAATCCCCACCTGTGAGGCTTAACAAGTTACGTTTAGAGAGAGAAATAGTTAGTGCGGGTAACAGGTCTGCTAATTCAAAACAGCTAGCCAATGAGATCTGTGTTATACTAAACCGGGAGTCTGAGGAAGTTTGACAAGGTTCATTTAGGAGGGGGGGACATTGTGGGGGGGACATTGTGGGAGGGGGGGGGACAATGTGGGATATAGTGAGCTGCAGGTGTTGTTTTTGGTAAGTGCATGAAAGAGGTTGCTTGATATATTTCCTCGAATTTCGTTCACGAAACATTGGTGATCGTCAGTCGTCACGGAATTTGAGTTTGAAAAAAAAAAACAGAGTTAAAAGAAAAACTATCGCGAATAGAGCACAGCAATTCTAAAGTCATGCAGCTGTTGCATCGCTTCCGAGATTTTCAGCTTTTTCTGACATCAATACCGATTTGTAAATAGTTCGAACTTTTGAAGTACAATCTTTTTGAATGGTCCAATGGGTGGATTGTCCCATCATGTGCCAGCTGCAAGTACTAATGTTAAATAAATAGTTCATAAGGGACCGTTCATATATATGTAGTCACTTTTTGGCCAATTTTTAACCCCTCCCCCCTCCGTGATCAGTTTTATGCATAGCTATTGTGTCAAAATTACACTAGCTTAATCACTAAGAAACCCCCTCCCCCTTCAGTGATTACGTTATATATGTACGACCCCATAAATGTTTATAAGTTCTAAATATACTTATCAATTTATAACTATAAGCTCTATATCAAGGTATCAATTCTGGCTGTACAAATAGCCGATAACCTGTCGAGAAATGGTAGATTTTTGCGAAAGAAGGTGACAGCACAACACCTGATCGACTATCAGGTATCAGAAAATGATCGATTATAGTCGCTATATAGGATGGGTATCGCGAGAGTGCGTGAGTTTTAACATAGTCACGTGATCCCAACTCTTATAATAGGATGATTCTATAGATCTGGAGTCTGGAGGGGGCTGCAAAACTGGACCACCGACTAAAGCTGTCGGAACATAATATTAAGACCAAATTAATAAACATCGTGGTGGTTTTTAAACAGATTGTTCAGTTTCTGGAATCTTTTCTGCTTTGCAGTATATTTGTTAATAGTTTATACGCAAGTCACTCATTATCATTACACATTTACCACAAAACAACAGCCTTAACATGCAATAACTGAAGTCAGCACTTCTTCTCAGTTTTTATCAGAGTTACTGACCCAAACATATCTGAGCAGAACTATAAGTTATAAAATTCAACGTAACTTATGATATATAATACAGTTACCTACTAACTTAATTATACTAAGTTACAACTAAGACAACAGAAGTTTATAAACTGTTAAAGTTATTTAAATTTCCAATAACAAACTGGTTTACAGTGTCGTTAACAAAGAAGGAAGATCCCGCAATACCTGATGTTGGTGTGGACTACGAGACCCTCCGACCTACTTACACTCACGAGGCCCTGAAAATCCTTCTTGATCAGGTTCTTAGTGAATATTAATGTAATAATTAATGTAAAGATTTGCGTCACCTTGTTCATGCTTTTGATTTATATTTTCTACAAATTTTTGAAATTATCACAAATTTTTCTGTAGCTCAGTAGTAGACGTGATTAATATTAATTTCTAGGGCTTCGTCAAGTATATCATCAGCCAAAACGGAGATGGACTCCACAAACTGAGCGGAGTACCAACAGTAAGAAGCTTTGTTAAGTAACCTGTCGTTATTGAATATCTTTATAATGTGAGATAGAGATTGTAGATTGTATGATATAATATCGCGATCGACTCATTTTAACGATCTATTCGAAGTGAGCTTGTAAATATCTATTGCAATTGAGAGCACGTTTCCTTGATTTTTGTAGCCATTTTTCACCCCTGTACCTATTTTAAATGTTGCCGGGTAGGGTCAACATTTGGTTTTGGTGGTTAAATAAGGAGTACATGTCACTAGCCTCGACAGAAAAAACGACCTCTTGACCCACTCCGGCCAAGCTCCCCAGTCCCAAGGGCCACGCCCATCCCAAAATAGCTAAAATCAAGGTCAAATCCAGACTAAAATAATATTGACTGATAAATATTGTTACGTACGTCTAGCGCGCTGAAATGACTACAACTTTCAACTTTGGCTACAAGATTCATGGTAACTTCTTATCTGGCAATTCAGTCACATATTTCCATATTCTCAATCTTTATTTGTAGCGCGCAATGTTAATTTAGCATTCTGAAACCTTTGCTAAATTGTTCAGTGTGTCCAAACGAACGCGCGCGCGAGAAAAAGGCGACACATGACACCACACTGCACACTGTATGTGTGTGTAGCAAAACTAGCTAGGAGCGATTAGAATTTCTTCCTGTGTTAAGTTAGATTCTGAATAAAAAACAGGCAGAAAAAGAATTGTCATAAGATGAAAAGATTTGAATAAATAACTAGTTATGTTACAACTCTTCGAAGTTCAGCGAGGTGGATAGTGGATACTATACTTGGATCAATGTATATTCAGTATTCGCAAGTCCTTTATTTGCAGGGAAGTATATCGGAGCTACACGGAAACGTGTTCGAAGAGTACTGTGAAAAGTGTGGCACGAGGTATGCACGTGACTTTTACACGCTTGATGACGTAGCTGGACAGTATTTTGACGATATGGAGGATTACGGGAAGAGCGATATCAAACTTCCTAAATATGCTGTCAGGTAACTGTTGTGAACATTCCTGTTATATTGGAATCCTGAGACTGTCAAAAATATTTTTGCAAATCACCTAGCCTTTGGGACCCTCACAAAATTGTGCCTGGTATGAAACAATTACAGGTTACCGGACTGTTCCATACACATGAATAGTCTCGGTCTTGTATTTTTTTAAAAGAAAATGTAAAGATACATTTTCAGGCAGGGCCAAAAATCCAAATAAAATGAGGGTCCTGCATAAAATCGGTTATACCCTGTCAGGGGACTTCTATCAGTATATGTCTGTTATTGTACAAATAAAATTATATTAATCTCCGTTCGTAAAATGAACAGGTGTAAAAGTTGTGGACTCTGCCACCGAACTAGTAGAAGATGTGCTAAGTGTAAGGGATACCTTCTAGACACCATTATTAACTTCGGAGACAACTTGGAGCAGGATATCATGGACAGGGCAGAGGAACATGCTGGCAAAGCTGATCTCGTCATCTCTCTTGGGACCACTATGGCCGTAAGTTTGTTGTGCGGTTATTATTAATATTTAGGGGAGTAAGTTTGTTGTGCGGTTATTATTAATATTTGGGGGAGTAAGTTTGTTGTGCGATTATTATTAATATTTGGGGGAGTAAGTTTGTTGTGCGATTATTATTAATATTTGGGGGAGTAAGTTTGTTGTGCGGTTATTATTAATATTTGGGGGAGTAAGTTTGTTGTGCGATTATTATTAATATTTGGAGGAGTAGGTTTGTTGTGCGGTTATTATTAATATTTGGGGGAGTAAGTTTGTTGTGCGATTATTATTAGTATTTGGGGGAGTAAGTTTGTTGTGCGGTTATTATTAATATTTGGAGGAGTAAGTTTGTTGTGCGGTTATTATTAATATTTGGGGGAGTAAGTTTGTTGTGCGGTTATTATTAATATTTGGGGGAGTAAGTTTGTTGTGCGGTTATTATTAATATTTGGGGGAGTAAGTTTGTTGTGCGATTATTATTAATATTTGGAGGAGTAAGTTTGTTGTGCGGTTATTATTAATATTTGGGGGAGTAAGTTTGTTGTGCGATTATTATTAATATTTGGAGGAGTAAGTTTGTTGTGCGGTTATTATTAATATTTGGGGGAGTAAGTTTGTTGTGCGGTTATTATTAATATTTGGGGGAGTAAGTTTGTTGTGCGGTTATTATTAATATTTGGGGGAGTAAGTTTGTTGTGCGGTTATTATTAATATTTGGGGGAGGGGATGATGGACTAATACTTCAATTGACGTTGAGAGGGGAGAGGGTTATAATTGGCCCAGTAAGGAGAGGGTTATGGGATTATTTGACGGGTAAGCTGATGTAGATGTACTGTAAGCTGATGTAGATATACTGTAAGCTGATGTAGATGCTATGCAGTACCCTAACCCTGTTCTCCAGGTAACTCCAGCAAATAGTTTGGTGACACGGAACAAAGGAGCAGGTCTGCTGATTTGTAACCGTCAGAAGACTGAGTTCGACTCTATTTGCGACCGAAAGAATGGTGAGGGTGCCAGAACAGGATCCAGGGTTTATATAGACTGTGATGTTCTGATGAAGTGCGTGATGAGGTAGATATTAAAAAACAAAAAAGTACCGCATTTTATCCTTATAAAACTAAAACTTATAAAACTAACCTTTGTAATTTACTTGTCAGAAACTGTTAGACCGGGTTTCAATATAATACCAGTATCACTAATAAGACCCGAAATTGACACACCCACACAAAGTGTAACACCCCCCCCCCCAGCCTGTTACTAAACACAAACGATCTGATCCGGTGGGAAGGAGAACGTGATCTGAGGTTGAAGATATACGACACTCAACGTCACAAACCCGACCCAATCTCCCCTACCACCTCAACCAATGTTAGCAGTAATCAAGCTTCATCTAGTAAACCTAGCGGCTCTAACAAGACAGCTAACTATAAAGTAAGGGGTGGAAGGGAAAAGAAGATGTCACCTGGCAAGGATGAAGAGATATCATCTCAGGAAGGTGGATCAGTCAGTAAGAGAGCTATTTCTCCTGAGGGAGGAAAACAGAAACGGAGATCAAGTAAACGGATTAAGATTAAATTATGATTTCCCGTTTAGAGTAGTTTCAATAAAGATGATAATTTTGCGAATTTTTCAGCTTGATTGCTGTTTTTTTTTCTCTCGAAATTAGCCACACATAAAAGGTTGCGATTCCAGGTGCGGAATCGCACTATTTACTAATATTACTGCACTTACATGCCGCCTATGTGTAGATACCGTGGCTATTGCTTGTTTGCTCTAGCATTTAAATTTAAAATTTGTAATCAAGAGATATTGTGTGATATGTAGAGTAAGAGATATTGTGTGATATGTAGAGATATTGTGTGATATGTAGAAATATTGTGTGATATGTAGATTGTAGAATATTTATTGATAATTAATAACCCAATAACTATTATAAGCATCAAATATACGTATTTTGAGATCACTTGTTAACAGGTTATATTTTACGCTTTTCTGAAACCATTTCACGAGTTTTGAAAGTTTAAGGTTTTTATTCATTATTAATATTAGTATTACATAATCAACAGTATGGGTAGATTTATGTGAAATTTGTAACTGTATATTAGCTGTATGTAATTGTATGCTGAACAGTGAACTTACATTTGATATTACTGTTCCGCTGTTCCGGTCTAAATATCACTAAATATGTGTCCTTTTTTATACATTGCGATCTCCTCGGTCGACTCAGCCGAATGATAGGAAACGTGATTGAGGGTTCCGGTTAAATGAGGAGAGGTACCTAGGTTAAAAGTTCAGAAAACTTCCTAGGATACCCCCTTCAGTACATACTGTAAACATAGCACTATTAACTATTAACCATCTGCTTAATGGAAAACTCGCCGAAATAATCAAGTCACAGCACGGAAGCTCATAATTCTGCGACAAAATCGCGTTAGACTTGAAATTGTTTCAGTGTCCAGTTGGAGCTAGATGAAAATGCCGATTTCTAATCTTGGATTTAAAATGGCTCTAAAATTTAAATTTAAAATTTGTGTACGAAATTTTACACTCTAGGAGTTTGATGTAAAATGTAAATGGTTAAAGGTAGTGCGCACTGCGCCTGAAATAAAGACCTTAGACTTCAAAATCATATTTTGACGTATTTTTCCATGAGGTAAAAAATACTGTATACTTATTGACCGATTTTTATTGACTTTAAAAACACTGATTAATACAGAAAATACTATGTTTATCAATTCATGAACGGATTACGGAACCGATAAATGCAAAAGGAATAAGCCTCTCAGTAAAAATGGATACATTTTCAAACAGCCCGATTCTGAAATATACGTGCGTTCAGGACTCATAGTCATATTGTTTGATCATCTTACGATCTTTTTGCCTTCGGCAAGAGTAGGGAAAAAATTATATTGATTTAGAAAATAATATTTTGGTCGATGTTTTTGACCCCTTACCCCCCCCCCCCCCCCTCTGGCCTTAATCCCCCTGGTATAGGCGAGTTTGGGCCCAAGCTCACAAATATCAATATTTATCTAAAATAGATAGTGGTAACTAGTGGTAACTACTAACTAGTGATATTTTTATTATATAACTTTATTCAAATCAAAAATAGAACATAAATGAACATCTTAAAGATCTGATAAGTAGCAACAAAAAAAGAAATACTGATACACAAGCTATAACAATTTCCTCCATCACGCTCTATCAGAGGCTAAAAGTCTTAAATTGTACAAATCGTCTGTATTTACAAATGGAATGTTCTACTACCTTAATCAAATTTAATAGTCCTAAGCAAGTTCGACTGGTGTCTGCCTACTCTGCTCTACCCTTTTTGATACTCTGACTCTCTACCCCACTAGTGATAACTAGTGCCAGTGGTAACTAGTGGTTGACTAGTGGTAACTAGTGGTAACCCTGGTAACTAAGATTATACCAGTACCAAAAAACGGGAATAGTCAATCATTTTGAAAAGTTTAAGCAAAAAAACCAAATATAAATAACTGACCTGATCTAGATCGTTGCGAGGCCAGGAGAAGGGCATGATAGAGTTTGGAGCAGCCTCAGTGACGGACTCTTTACTTTGTCTGGGCTCTTTACTTTGTCTTGAGTCCAGTCTGAGGATTCAGCCCTGGAGGATTGTGGACTAGATATTGGGGGCGACAAAAGTTATAAAGCACTTTAGAGGACCAATTGTAAAGAGTCAAATGTTCAATTTTAAAAAGGATATTTTCTTGTGCTGAGTTCTAGTCCTTATATAAGGACTGGAACTCAGCACAAGAAAATAGGTTAGTGAATAAGTCCTGGCTATTAGAGTGACTTTTTTACTATTTCGAGTTGTCTTGTTCGTAGGAATATATTATATAGATGTGTAACCCCCCGGCCCCCCATGGCCTAACTTAGTATTGATACCATTACTTATAAGGAAAATCATAATAATTTCGATCTAAGTAAACAATTATTCAGTAAAGAAGTGACATGAGACCTGAACATTAAAAAGGGGGAACGCGGATTATTTCTTGGGGATTTTAATGAGGAAATTGTATGCAGGGCTAAAATCGTGGTCACACACATTTATTTTATTATCGTTATAGTTTAACGTTGATAGTAAAGGCTGTGTTTCCTGGTGCGCTCACTACTCTTTACACCATCTTGGTCCATAGCTCATGTTAAGAAACTTCTGTGAGTATCATTAGGCCTGACATCACAGCTCAACGGCACTCACAGAGGACGCAGTACGGGGTGGTGGTTTTCCGGGGCAATAGCTCACAGCTCATTGCCGCGATCTGAGAGCCAACCAGATCTTCGTATGAGGTAGGTTACCTAATATGAGGATTCTGGTTGGCTCTCAGATTAAGATAACTCGGGTAACGATCTGGGAAAGTTCACGATTGGCGGCCACTCTAAACTAATGGTGTGCCCAGTGTGGCCATTATATTATAAACTTGGAGATCTCTGTTGCAACTCCTTCTGGCCCTGGGCTTCAAAGCTTCAAGTATTTTAAACCTATCATTGCTGTTGAGAGATAATGTGGTCACTGCCCACTGGTCACTGGTCACTGGTCACTGGTCACTGGTCACTGGTCACTGGTCACTGGTCACTGGTCACTGGTCACTGGTCACTGGTCACTGGTCACTGGTCATATGATTCACATACTATAGTTCGACACGTACTCTCCTTCGACAACTAAAGTTCGATAGAAATCACCTCTGTTGAACTTCTGTACGTGTCGAACTAAAGTCCAGGTACCGTACTCTAGTTCGACATAAGTTTAGGACTTGTTGAACTATCCGTCTTACCAATCCTTATTCCTTGCTTTTACAGAACTATAATCTTTGTCAACGATCTACTGCAAATCTTATGTTTTCTCTCAGTATCTATACCAGCATCCTGTATATTATGTGATTTAGTCCCCCTGTCTTATGCCAGATGGAGCTGTAACAATTTAGTTCAGTGTAAGCACGAAACGGCTTTAATGTCTACATAGCTGGTACTTGTTATTCTGACTTGCCATCTATTCTTTGGGAAAGGTCCGCCCTAATGTCATAGGATGGGTATACGACAGTACGGGGTGGTGTTAACCCTTATCATACTGGGGTGCTTGGAGCTCATTCATTACTGGGGGTGGGTTGAAAGGACCCATCCCTAATAACTTTGGTTCTAGTAGTAAACCCGCAATGGGGTGGCATGTGCCTCAATAAAATATTACAATCATTTATTATTATATCAATTTATCGTTAAATATTTCAAAAATATCAATAACGTATGGTTGATCCTTCACACTTGGTAAAATATATAAAAATTAAGTTAATCTACACTAAAGAATAAATAATCTATATTATATAAATCAACAATATTAACTCCCCATCTTCTTGTAGTCATTTATCAAAGCGGTAGAAATCCAAGTAATTTTAGTACGCGGTGCGCAAGGAATTTCGTTTTTAAAAAATGTGTAGGCAAGATAAGCCTAAGTGTGGCAGTGAAAATTGAAAAATAAGTTGCAGAATAAATTGCAGTGACTGACTGTCAAATGCATTATCGCAGTTCATTTATTTGACTGCACTAACGTTTAGGATTCTTACAGCTGTTATATTTTGCTAATATTTTGTTTAAAAGTTGTAAAGGACAAAGTTCTTGTCCGTCCACGAAAGGTTTTCTAGGTCAAGTTTTTGTTTGTCCTGTAAGTAACGTACAATGTTGTCCTTGTATGAATTAATAAACTTATCTTGTAACTTAGGTACGTTGAAGGGAAGGATTTTATTTATTTCGTTTATCGTGTTGTTATATAATCGTGGTCCTACGTTAGAGATGCTATAATCGGTGATCCGTAATCTGTTGAACTTAATTTCAAAATACTTTGGATTTCTCCTTTCCGTTTGTCTAAGCGGTGATTTTTCAAATATACTACAGATACTCGATGGTGCTACTCCCATATAAACCTTGTGCATCAAAGTTAGACAGCTTTTAGCAATGAGATTAGGAAGAGCTAAAATTCCTATTTTGTTGAAGATGGATTTTGTGTGAGATGGTAGTTTACGTTTTTCTTTGTCGTAAAAATAGTTATGATATTCTGAATCAGTGGCGCGAATAGCTTTCTTTTGAGCAGAGAATAAAGACTGAATGGAATTTAAAGATTTAGTACCCCAAACAGTAGCGCAGTAATACAGGTGAGATTGAATTAAACTATTGTATAGCATTTTTTGAGCTTTATTCGGAATGGAACTTTTAAGTTTCATCATTACGCCTGCATTTCTGGATATTTTAGTCTTTAACTGTTTAATGTGCTGGCTCCAGCTAAGTTTTGAGTCAATAATGACACCTAAAAATCGTTCATGTTCACTTTTCACTAGTCGCTGTCCTTCTATACTAATATTTATATCCTCTGGTAATCTGTTAGTGAATATCATGTATTTAGTTTTTCCTACATTAAGTTTAAGACCGTTGTTTTTAACCCATGTCTGTACAGTATTTAAAACTCTAGACGGTATTCAGCCACCACAAAAAGTGGAATGCTCTAGTTATACTTAGTTCTACAAGACTCATTATGTTCTAAAGGGCCAGATAGTGCACAAGTGCACAAGATAGTCTCCTGCGTTAATTGAGAAATCACGTGGGATATCACAAGTTTATCACATGATACAGGCCTCAAAGTGATCCATGATCTCCATATAAGGAGCGGTTGTTGATCTAATTAATCCTCAGGTTACTGGGGGTGGGTTGAATCAACCCATCCCTAAGAAACGATTGTTGATTCGATTTACTCCTAGAATACTGGGGGTGGGTTGAATCAACCCATCCCTAAGAAATGACTGTTTATCCGATTTACTCCTAGAATACTGGGGATGGGTTGAATCAACCCATCCCAAATCAGCCCGTATAAGGAGTGCTTGTTTTATAAATTGAGTTAAATTTTGCAGAACGCTGCAGGGATTGGTCAATCGCAAACATGAGTGTATGTGTGTGAATTTGAAAGTTGTGAACTATGCGACTCTACTCCAAATTTCATTATCAAGGTAAATAAATTTTAGGAAAGACTCAAACAAACGAAATTTAAAAATAAAGTCAAGTTTTCGATTATAATCAGTGTAAAAAATATATAACATTTGGATATGAGTATTCGTACGAAAGAATTTATGGTTCATTTACACGAGTCACATTATGAAATAAGATGAACCTTCGTGCACATTCTAAGTCCACAACT